CATTCTGTTATGAATTTTACTACTTTTCAGTGGAATTTATGTTGGGTCTATTTTCATTACTGCACACAGTTGCCAGATCGGTACCTAACCTTTTCCACGTTCTTTTTCAGCATAACTTCAAGACATTGCAGCTCACGCTCAGGATGGACACGTTTGGACCATCTTCCGGCCTCTAGAACTGCTCATTTGGAAAGTCACCCGTTGGTGCACGTTACAAGACTTTGGTCCTTTTTTGGGGGGAACTTGTTTCTGATGTCGCTTTCGAAAGAGGGGGAGGAGCCTCATCACTGTGAATATTATACCTCCTACTGCATTTTTGATTGGTTAATGTTTTCACTTTTCTTTACTGCTGTGTGGAGTTAGTAAAGAGAGTTTATGCAAAATACTCGCCTCCTGTCATTACTAAAATTAAGATTATAAGTACACTAACGCTAGCATAATCTTCAATTATTTGGAAAGCTTTAATCGTTATAAAAGTTTATTAAAGGGACACTATAGGGTCAGGGATACAAACATGTATTCCTGACCTATAGTGTTAAAAACACTATCTAGACACTCTGCTCCCTCTATAAATATAGAAATATCTTACTTTTATTCCAGTCTTCTGCTGCTGCAGCTGCTGCTGGCTCTGCCCCTGAGATGCATACATCAGAAGCAGAGATCTGGGCCAATCACAACGCTTGTCCATAGGACAACCAAGGAAGCAGATCGGGGGCAAAGCCAGCACAAGTGAAAATACATTCCTGGCCAATCAGCATTTCCTCATAGAGATTCCGTGAATCAATACATCTCTATGAGGAAAGTTCAGTTACTCCATGCAGAGGGCGGAGACACTGAATGTCAGCAAAGCGCTAGGAAGCACCACTAGCAGCCATCTGCGGAGTTGCCACTGGAGGTATCCATAGGCTGTAATGTAAATACTGCATTTCCTCTGAAAACACAATGTTTACTGCAAAAAGCCTGAAGGAAATTATTCTACTCAATAAGATGTAGTTGTTCTGGTGACTATAGTGATTCCTCTCTTGCAACTGTCATTGGTCTAATACTATCCTTACCTTTTGTGTCACTTTACCCCACTCCCTCTAGCATGTAAGCTCACTGAGCAGGGCCCTCAACCCCTCTGTTCCTGTGTGTCCAACTTGTCTGGTTACAACTACATGTCTGTTCGTCCACCCATTGTAAAGCACTGCAGAATTTGTTGGAGCTATATAAATAATAACATAATAACAATAATAATAATAGTGTACCAAGTGTTACACCCCTGGATTAGTGTGCGTTCTGAAAATACTCTGACATCTCCTTCTAAACTGCTGACTCCCCAACAGCTGCAGCTCCAGACAAACCCAGAAACCATTGTTTATTCCCCTTCCTCAATAAAATAAGTCATTCTGACATGGTCCACTGTTCTGTTGCCAAGCATTTACAGTGCTCTGCTGCAAATGGTGACAAGGGGGATGGAAAGTGAGATGATGGAAGGTTAGGGATAGTTCCATCCTTACTCAGTTAAGAAAGCAGTCACTGCTTCATGACAAATGCCTTTGCGTTCTAGAATAAGTCAGAAGGAAGCAAACAACATTATTTCTAATATTAAAAAAATAAAATGAAAACTCTGTATTTCTGCTGCTGCATGATATATAGTTCCTTTACTTGTGAATGTTTCTGGCACAGCTGGCTCCAATGATCACAGGAATGGAAATAGCACAGCTAGTGATAAAGTAATATTGGGATACCTACTGAACCAGACTGTTGACATCATCATAAACCTTGGGATCCTCCAAAAGCACAGGGAATGCACTCCAGGACATGCCCTTTGTTTCACTGAGAATTATGAACAGCTATTTTTATCCCTGACTCAGTCGGCCATTCATTCAGCGTTGTCAGGGGAGCAGAATTCATAATATGATATAGTTAATACAGAAATAGCTTGACTTGCCAAAGGTAAGCTGTGCTTTGCCATCCCCACTAGCATTGTATGGGTTTGACAAGAGGATCATTTAACTCATCACAAAGGTTAATGCACACAGATACGAAGCAAATAAAGATATATATAAATAGAGAACTATATCCATCAAACAGTTGGCAGCCAGATAAAGCAATGGACAAACTGATAGATAGGTCCCATATGGTAAAGAGCAGTGTGCTGCCATTGACCTATTATGTTTTATAAGTAAGTCAAAAATCAAAACTGTGCAAATTTTGACCCCCGCCAAAGAGAGTAAGCCAGTATGTGACATTATTTTACATTACATTTATTTTATAGTGAGCATTATTGTTAGTTAGAACTGGTTCTGACATTCTGCGTTTTGTATGTCAACTTTCTATATTTTGCTATTAAGAAGAAATATTATTTAGATTACAATTTAAAAATCAACCAACTCTGCATTTTATGGTCTAGTTGTGACTTGCTGGCTCTTGGTCATAAACTTTGTGTTAAGGTAAATTATGTAGTTTGTCTGAAATGCATTTTTATGATGATAGTTTTGACTATAAATAAAGTGTAATTCAGGATAAAAGAACACGCCAGGGTATGAGAAATACTGCTGGTGGCAGAGATTAATAAGAGAATGTAGGCATTTTTTTTTTTTTTTTTTAAATGTATCACTCACACATGATAAAAATAGAATGTGTAAGTAAGACTCTAATTATCCTTGTAAGAAAATAACTTTTCTCACAGCAGCAGGAAAAAAAAGAACACTATAGGGGTTCAAAAAAACATTAAAATTAGGTAGTAATGAGCATTATAGAAAACAAAATCTGAATGAAAAACACAGTTTTTGAATAGTGGGTTTAGTTTATTTTATTGCAAAAAGTATGTAGCTTGTAAAAACTCTGATTCTACAAAAAGAAGATAAACAATATTTCCATCTAATTTCACACTAAAAAATATAAGGTGAAGGAATGAATCACTTAAAATCTTTCTAGATGCATATATCTCCTAAGTTATCCATTACATCTAGGCAGGGCCGGACTGGGAAAAAAATTCAGCCCGGGCATTTTTTAATAACATTATGGGAGCGGGGCCAGAGGGGGTGTTTTGTCATCACCAATGACGAGCACGCCCCCTATCAAAGTGAGGATGTTGGTGCTATACTCTTCTAGGGCAGACCATGTGCAGTGCCCAGCTGAAGAGCTCTTGCATGAGAAAAGGGCCCCGTGTTTGTTCTTCACAGCGCAAGCAAATTTAATGACATGCTTGAACTGTGTTTGCTTATGACTCATCTCTGGTGTTTCCATAAGTGGGACACCAGAGAACAATAGGGCCAGGAAAGCATATTGTGCATGTGTTTGGAGGCTGCTTGTGGGACTGTGTGTGTGTAGAGTGAGCTGATTGTGGTGTGGTGTTTTTTTGGAAATAGGTCAGTTTCAGTTGCGTTTGTGGTGTAATATGTGTGGCTAGGGGCTGAAGAGTGTGAGTATGTGTGTGTACTGGGGGTACAGCGTGTATAGGGGATGTAATGAGTGTGTGCATAGGGGCTGTAGTGTATGTGTGTAGGGGTTGTAGAGAGTGTATGTTTAGAGAATGTAGTGTGTGTTTGCATGCATAGGAACTAGTGAGTGCAGAGTGTATGTCAGAAATGTATTGTGTGTAGGTGGTGAGGTGTATGTCTACAGGGGATCTATTGTTCTATTGTATGTGTATAGGATCCAGAGTGTATATAGGTAATCTAGTGTGTGTGGAGGATCCAGAGTGTTTATAAGTAATATAGTGTGTGTAAGTGGTGTAGTGTGCATAATGGATATTGTGTGTGTGTCTGTAATGTAGTGTGTGTAGAGGTGCAGTGTGTGAGTAGTGCAGTGTGTGTGTGAGGGGTGCAACGTGTGTGTGTGTGACTGGTGAAATTTTTGTGTAAAGGGTGTAGTGTGGTTGAGGGATGCAGTGTCTGTGTGTGTGTGTGTGTGATTGTGTTGGGACAGGTAAAGGCAGGTAAAAAAAATAAATGAATGTAAAATAATAATTAAGCTTCATATCCTCCTCCCTTCTTACCTTCTGCCTGGGAGGGGGGATATTGCTAGAGTTTACTCTCACGAGATTTGGTTTGAGCGTTGCCATGGTAACCGCGGCAACGCTCCGATCTCGTAAGAGGAAAGTATAGTACCCGGTGGAGCTGCAGGCTAGAATTCCTGGGTCCTCCTCTCGCTCCTCTATGGCTGGATCTCAGTGTCATGACTTTCACTGTTATCTCACAGGACTGCTGGGGAGTCTGGGAGAAGAGCAGAGGAAGTCACGCCCCCTCCTCCTGACATCATCAGGAGAGGCCGACTTCACTGACTGCTACTGTATGCTGGCTGCTGCTCCTGCTGGCTGCTGCCCACCCCTCCCTGAGTCTTGGGAGGGGGGAAATACACTGAAGTTTTTTTTTATTCCCCTCCTTAGTCCTGTCCCCTTAGTCAGCCCCTGTCCCCCCTCCTCAACCCTGTCCCCTTAGTCAGCCCCTGTCCCCCCTCCTCAGCCCTGTCCCCTCCTAAGCCCCGTCACCCTCCTCAGCCCTGTCCCCTCCTAAGCCCCGTCACCCTTCCTCAGCCCTGTCCCCTTAGTCAGCCCCTGTCCCCCCTCCTCAGCCCTTGTCCCCTTGCTCAGCCCCTGCTCCCTCCTCAGCCCTGTCCTCCCTCCTCAGCCCTGTCCCCTTGCTCAGCCTCTGTCCCTTTCCCTTTCTTCAGCCCTCTGTCCCCTTCCTCAGCCCCTGTCCTCTTTTGCTCATCCCCTTTCCTCAGCCCCTATTCCCTTCTTCAGCCCCTATCCCCTTCCTCTGCCCCTATCTCC